CCCCCCCCCCTTTTTTTTTTTAACTCCAGGTTTTGCTCCAGCTCAAAGGTACAGTTCTTTTCTTGCCTTAATACAGCTTCTTAAAGTCGGGTCTAAGACCTCTTCCCTCCCCCTCCTCTTCTTTCCACTGCTAGTCGTTACCATTAAAGGTCGAAAGTTGCGTGGCAGTCGGTGCAATCTCACAGGAGGGGTCTGGTTGGGTAGTAAACTTCGGGCTGCGTAGTTTCCAGAAAGTATTAGGCAGACGCGCCAGGGTGGACTGCACGGTCTGTTTGCGCGTTTTATGAAAAGGGAAGGAAGCCCACCTGTAGGAGTGACTCCCGTTGGAGAAGTGAGTGTGGCTTTCCTTGCATCCACCGCTGACTCCTGAGGGGCCGTTCAGGTTGGACTCCGTCGCGGGTCAGGGCGGGAGAGGCCAGCCTTTTGTAATCTCCTTGCCTGGAGTACTACTGGGCACCAGGTTGAGAATCACATGGCGCTCTTGTCCTCCTCTGGCCTAAGGGCTGCCACTATCACCCGCTGTAACAATAGTGGGGAGGGAGAGGTCCGGCTTCGTTTCGCACCCCCTTACCCACCTCCGCTAGCCTTCCAGTGCGTTCCTCCCCCAGATCCTGCGTGCTCGCTGCCCTCTGATTTGTACCCTCGCCTCCTGCATACGCCCTCCCCCGACACACGCTCCCCTCAACCCCTTCTGCGCCGGTGCCCGCCAGGGACGCGGAGAGGTAGAGACTGGTTATCGCCTTTTGCCCAGTGTCCAAATTCTGCTACATGCTCGATTCCATTTTGATTATGCATCTGCAACTAAGACACTGTCCTTTTTCCACGTCGTACTCGCGTTTTGGCCTTGAAGCAGCCCGCCCTCAATTGGTTCTCATGAGCTGTGCGGAACGAGGCGACAGCAGGGTAATTGCACCGTCTCCTCCTTGCATGTGTGCGTGTGCTCGGTGGCGGCTACTGTGCAAGATACCTGCCCAGCAGCTCTCGCTCAGTGGGTCAGAGGGCGCCTGTCAAAGGCCAACCCCGCCGCACAGTAGCACGAGGCACCCGAGAGGAAAACTTTCACATGTGCCTAGGTCGAGTACGCCCTGTGTGTTTCTTCGCTCCCCGGCCTCAGGCACACTTTCAATCTAGCGGCGGGGCGGCGCGCATGCGCACGCGGGGTGGGGGACACCCAGGTCCCACGGCTCCGTGGGCCTCGTCGTGTGTCTCCGGTGGGGGGATGGGAGAGCGCCGCGGGAGCCGGACCGGACGGGGCGGTAGTGAGTGCGCCATCCTGGGCCGGGCGCCAGGGGCACGGGCTCCTGCCCCGGCCACCGGGCCCGCGGCCCAGGCGCGGC